ATCCACTCATCCATCCATCTATCCATCATCCATCCATCCATCCATCCATCCATCATCCACCCATCCATCCATCCATCCATCCATCCATCATCCACTCATTCATCTATCCATCCACCATCCATCCATCCATCATCCACTCATCCATCCATCCATCCATCATCCATCCATCCATCCATCCACCCATCATCCATCTATCCATCCATCCATTTATCCACCCACCCATGGAGACACTCAGTGAGCCCTGACTGAACCATAGTCCTTGGCAAGGCTCTGGGGAAGCTGTAGTCACCCTTGGCCACCATGGTCAAGTACAGGAGGGGTGAGAAGGGTAAGACTAGCCAGAATGCTTAGAGCTGGTCCCCACAGATCATTAAAGAAGTGAGACCAGTGCCCAGCATCCAGCCAGCCTGCCTTGTCTTGCTGTGCTACATCGGATCAGTTACCTAACTCCTCTGTACCTTAGTTTCCTCATCTATACATGTGGCTACTAGAGACTCAGTGGTGAGGCTCAGCAGTGACCAGCGGCTGGAGCAGCAAGCAGTCTGTAGGGTGGGGGAGAGGATATCGGAGGAGGAAGGGTGAGGGACTCTGAGCCTCTCTGGTTCTCTGAGAGGTGCATGTGTTAGTCACTCTGGGCCCAGTCGGCATTGTCCACAGTGATGGGGACACTGCAGAGGGTCTGAGGGTAATCAGGCCCTGGGCCTCAGAGCAGCTCCTCTCAAGGCTAGAAGGCGCACGAGTCCCAGCCCAGGGGGATGGAGTCGGGGGAGGAGGCCTCAGGTCCTTGGGGGCCATCTCGACCTGGCATTTTGTTTCTACACCTGGGGCTTTTGTCCAGCAGAGAGAAAGTCTGGGCAGCTGGCCCCAGGCCCTGGGGGACGTGCTGGCTGGGCCTGGAAGCCCCCATCCCCCAATTTGCAGCAGCTTAGCCACTGTGGAAACTCCTCTGCACCTGCTGGGGACGGTGCCCGCTCACAAGCTCTGCAGTTTGTCACCATCTATGTGGCCAGAGAAAGGTTACGTGTGTGACACCTCGCAGGGGCCTCACATCGACTCAGTGGCTTCCTGTGGGCAGACTCTGGCTCCAACTTGACCCCAGGGCAAAGATACCACCACATGCGTTTGGTTTGGGTTGTTTGGGCTTTTTTTTTTCAGTCTTTTCCATGAACAACAGCAGCAAAAAAAAGCAAGAGAGTGTCACTTGATAATGTCACAGCGGGGTCTGTGGTGGCGTGCAACCCGCGGGCTCAGAGCTCCTGGTCCCGACCCAACCTCACAGCAAACTGGGGTTTGGCAAGTGTTAGGGCTGCGAGCATTTTAACCACATCAGCCCCAGGAGCCGGGGCGGCCTGGGGCCTGCTTGGGGGGGCCAGGAGCTGGGGTGGAACCTGAAAGCTGGAGGGCTATATACACCAGGCCAGGATTAGGGGGGGCTTCTCTGCACCCTGCCTTTACCTGTCCAAACTATCCCTGAGTTAGCACATCAGTGGCCTTTCACAACTGCCCTCCCCTGGGCACCAAGCTCTGGTTGGCCTCCAGGTCCACCCAGGAGTGCAGGACTGGCTGTGGCTGTCTGCCCCCACCCAAGGAACAGAAGCCCGGTGAGGCTAGGGCAGGGCTGAGCCCCTGAGGGACCGTGCTTGCACACGTGGGCCCCCCCACTGTGGTGCCGGGTCGGGGGGCACAAAAAGTCAGAGCATTTGCACCCAGATTATACTTGGACTACCTTAGCTCAGCCCTCTGCAGGACCCACTAGCAAGTAGCTGCCCCTGCGACACCAGCCCTCTCCTCAGAGGGTCAGAGGGAAGGGCCCAGGCCTGCAGTATCTTGACTTTCTCGGGGGGTTCAAGTCCAGCCCCAAATCCTTGCTTTGACCCTGTCACCCAGCCGGCGGCTGAGATCCCGTCTTGGTGCTGGGGGAGGCTCCGCAGGGACCCGGCTTCTCGCTGGGGACGTGTGCACATTCTGAGCTCACAGGTGGGTGGAGGGGAAGCGTACAGAACCCTCCCTGCTCCCTGGAGAGCTGGTCTCTCCCCCTGGGCCCCTGGGCCAGCCACTGAACATTCTCGACCAGCCAGGAGTCCACTCTTGTGCCCACCCAGGAGGGCCGGCCTCTGACCAGCTGGTGTGGCCAGCTTGAAGCAGCAGCACCCACAGCCATCAGCACAGGGCTCCCAGTGCCAGGCAAGGCATGGGTGGGGGCTCTGCTGAGGCCAGTTGAACCTTCCCTTAGCCACGGGCCTCCACACAGCCCAAAAGCAGGAAGGAGGCTGTCTAGCTCCAAAGGGGAAACAGAGGCAGGACCCGGACCACCCCTATGTCATCAGATTAGGAATTTGACACGTCAGGGCTGGGAAGGCACACATGGTTCACACAGTCTGGCCTCCCCTCAGAGCACCCTGGAGGCATGGCCACGCGGCCTTCCTTGAAGCCTCATGGTGACGGGGCTCTCACCCCTTTGCGAGGCTCCCCACCCATCAGACCGGCTGCCTGTAGAAACCACTCAGCCACTGGTCCTAAGGTCTCAGCAGACCCCTGCTGCCGGTCACCTTCTCACTGCCGATCGCCCGAGGGAGCCTGTATCTGAGGGGTCCTGTGCCTGCGCAGGTTTGTATTGATTCGTTAGTTTCCCTGTCGAGGGAGGAACTAGTGTGAATCTCCGACGCCTGTTACTCCCGACGGCTCGGGGCTGCAGCTCCCGGCCCGCGAGACAAACTGCAGACTCGAGCGGTGGAGGAGACCCGGGCTTGGCAGGAGGCCCAGCCCCCAAACACCCCAATCAGACCATAAACGTTGGGGACCCGGTTCCGCAGCAGACAGTGAGGGACAGCCACTGCGCCCGGATTTACGTGGCCCCTCTTCTTGCCCCCGTGTGCCGTTTACGTAATCGTGGTGTGTGAGCCCCACTCCAGGGGACCTGGCAGGGTGCACGGGGGCGACGGGATGTCAGCGGAAGCTGGGCTTGGCCACCATCTCAGCCTCCAGTTTCTGCCAAAGGTGTAGGCGCTGCTGGTGGAGTTGCCCTCTTGGGCTCAGCCCCTGGACCAAGGAGGGAAAAGACACGAGGGGGCATTAAAACAAGGGCCAGGTAGAAGGGAGGAGGCAGGGAAGGCGGCAGAGTCGAGAGGACGGCCGGCGGTGCTGGGTTGGGCCAGGGACCCAGGCTGCGGGCGGGCGCCCAGGGCCGTGCTCCCCAGCAGGGCTTAGAGGCGAATGTCGGGGTATTTCGGGGAGATGGCCTGTGAGCACTGAGAAGCTCCATGGCCCCCAAGTGTGAGTATTTGTGGGCGACCCCCAGGCATTCACATGACATTTTATCTGGACAATTTGTGGTCTGTGACTTTCGTCCGATCCTCGAAGGCATCAGTGGCCCCAAAACAGAGCCGGGTGTGGTTTCGGGCCCCGGCTCTGGCAGGGAGGCTCCGCGCGTCGCTGACGCTGAGCGAGGCCGTCAGGCGCCAGCGGCTTCCCCGTCTCAGCTGCGCTCTTGGGTCTCTCAGACCAGCAGACCCTGGTCTTTACTTCCCAAAGCGCCCCTGGCCTGGAGCTGTTCTCTGGAGACCTGGCCCGGCCTGGGCGTCCTAGGAGCCCTACCCAGCTTCCCCCAGACATGCGCCCCAGAAAACGCTGGCTCTCTGTCCCTCTCTGTCTTCGCGCGCTCAGGGGGCAGCTGGGTCCATCCTGGAGGAGCCGCTCCCCTGAGTTACCTGCTTTCCCCCTTGCTGTCTGCCCCATTCCCCCTTCTCTCC